TTTTTTTGCTAAAAAAATTATTAAAATTATCAAGTATCTGCTAAATTGATATTTAATTAATTTAGTAGATATTTGATAATTTAATAAATAAATTAAGTTAAAAAAAAAATGAGTAAAAAAATTGACATGTAGAAATTTTAATGAAGAAAAAATGCAATTTTTTAAAAATTTTTTTTTGTCATAATTTATTTGCTAAAAAAAATTATTAAAATGATCAAGTATCTGCTAAATTGATATTTAATTAATTTAGTAGATATTTGATAATTTAATAAATAAATTAAGTTAAAAAAAAAATGAGTAAAAAAATTGACATGTAGAAATTTTAATGAAGAAAAAATGCAATTTTTTAAAAATTATTTTTGGGAAGAAATTTTTTTGTTAAATATAATCATAAAATTGTGAAATGACAGCTAACTTTAATATCATTCAGTCGAAATTTTTATGATAATGCTAAAATTAGCCGTTTTTAATTTTTTGATTCTTTTTAATAATTAAATTAAGACAAAAAAATATTTTTTAAAAATTGCACTTACAGTTTTTGAAGTTTTTTACAGGTGAAATTTGTTTTTTATTTTTTCATAATAATTTTTTCAATAAAAAAAAATTCTACAAATTTTTAGAAGTCGGCTAACTTAATTTTCATATTTTTATAAGCAATTTTTCTAGCTAATAATTTTTGATATAAAAATTCAAAAAATTAACAGTTGTCAGCTAACTTCAATATCATATTTTAAAATTAATTTAGCAGATATTTAATAATTTTAAGAATTTTTTTAACAAATAAATTATGGAAAAAAAAGTAGAAAAAAAAATCGACATGTAGAAATTAAAAAAAATAAAAAATGCAATTTTTTATGAAAATTAAGTTAGCAGACATCTAAAAATTTTTTTTATTGAAAAAATTATTACAAAAAAAATTTGAAAAACTGCAAGTGCAATTTTTAAAAAATATTTTTTAGTTTTAATTAAATAAATAAAGAAAAATTGAAAAAATAAAAAATGTTGGCTAAATTAGAAAAAAAAAGGCAATATTTTATAGAATAATTTTTTGTAACAAATTTATTTATTAAAAAAAATTGTCAAGTAACTTCCAACTGTCATGCGCACAATAAATCAGTGTGTTAATAATAAAAATAATAAGCAATAAATAAGTAAGAAAATAAATAATAATTTTCAAAATTAAAGTAAGTATTTTAATGATCAATAAATAATATATGAGAGCATGTTTATTTATACTTGGGTTTTTTTTCCAGAGAAATCCCTGACCAGTGGACGATAACCTCAAAACCGAGAGTTTAAGACAAGCAATTATGTTAATTTATTTATTACATTAACTTTCGCTATTAATCAATTTATTAGAAAATTTTTTTTTTTTTAATAAATTTATCACACGTAATAATTAATTCAATGTTAACAATTAATTGTTATTAATGATAAATAACTGTCGACGTTAATTATCACCTACAATTTTATTATTTAAATTTGCATAGTAATTAGTAACTCAATTAGTGATTACTGATAATAAAACATAAATTATTAAAATAATAAATTTTTTTAATACATAAAATTTCGAAATTTCAGTCTTTGGACTTTTCCGGAGCGACATGACGTCAGAAGAAATATTGAGGAATTATTTTTGTCACGACTGGTTACTTAATTTAAACTTGTGTTATGTATTCAACACATATGGTAATTAAGTATTTTTTTTTTTTTAATTTTAGTGTAGTCTAGATTTTTAAAGAAGTTTGTTTATTGTAATGAGGTAATTATAATAGATTACGAGTGTGAAGAAATTTAAAGTGGGCTGAGAAGCATACTCATGCAGAAGAACGGTAATTTTTTTACCTGAGTAAAGTCGGCGCCGATAAATGCTTGCTCCATACCAATCCATACTGTTATTGGTATCAGTAATTGCTGGTATGGCTTTTTTAATTGATAGGCTGTCGCTGATAACAGCTGGATACCGCTCAGCTCTGTGCTATCATTTCTACGCTGTTTTTCTCCGTACCTGTAACATAAAATTTATTTATTTTTAATTAATTATTTTTTTTATTTGAAACTTTTTTTTATTTCTTCTTTTAAAAGAAGAATATAATTTATTTTTTATTAGAGATTTTAATAAATTATAATTTATTTAATTAATTATAACTTTATTTTTATTTCTTCTTTTAAAAGAAGTATATAATTTATATTTAATTTTATCAAGTTAAAAATTTTATTATTTCTTCTTTTAAAAGAAGAATATAATTTTTTTTTAATTTGAAATTTTAACAAATAAAAATTTATTTGTTTAATTAAAAATTTTTTTTTTATCATTTCTTCTTAAAAAAAAAATTTTTTTTGTTTTTAATTAGCAATTTAAAAAAATTATAATTTTAAATATCCACAAGCCGTTTTCTGATAATTGAATATATTTTTAAAAAATTCACGTTAAAAAATTTATTTTTTATGCTAATAAGGTAAATTAAATTTTTTATCACATGTTTGAATTGTCAATTGTCTATTATAAAATATCTATTTCCACAGGTGTGATACAATAATATATATCATTAAATCATCATACTAATATAAATTTGAATTAATTAAAAAAAAAATAATCTAATTATCCCATACTCAAAAGAAAATTAATAACTCGTTTAGACATGAAGTATAAAAATGGCCAGAACAAATTGGTCCGCTTGTACAGCACAATAATTCACAGTCAAAAAACGAGCCTCAAGACCCGTAAGATAAAAAATGATATTACGTGACATGTCTAATCGGATTGAGTATAAAAACGAGTTCCATGACCTCTCGATATTTTTTTTCCATAACAATAAAATTTAGCATTTATTTAAGAGTTGTTATTAATGGGCAGCAGATTTGCAAGCCAACCACCGAAAGGTAAGACGAAAAAAATAAAAAGTAGCTCGAAAAGAAATTAATCATCCTTAGCTGGCTCTTCTTCTTCTTCTGACATTGTATTTTTTTTTTACAGATCACGGGATATCCTGAGATATCAGCAGACTCGTTAGCTGGCTAGAGAGAATAATCGGAAGGTCATGGGCCTCGTAGTTTTCAGACTCAGGCTTTTTAATCATCGCATTTTGGATTTAACTCCTTAAAGATTTTTTTGACGGTTCTCAATTTCAAATTAGTTTATTTTTTTCAGTTTTGAATTTTTCTACTGCAATTCAAAATTTTTAATCAAATATTGAAAATATTGTTGGAAAAAATTATATCATTTATTTATAGAAAATTCAATTTCGTACAAAAAAGGTCCTTATCAATTCTTCCTTATTTCGCTTCTTTTCTCTAAAATTTTAATTTAAATTTCAAAAATCAAGCTAAAAAATTTATCCATAGCTTTCAAAAAATTAAAGTACTTATTGTGGCTAAAATATTGAAGATAAAAAAATGACCTTTTTTATGAAGAATTCAATTTCCTTAAAAAAAAAATCTTTATAAATTTTTCCCTATCTAGAGAGAAAAGAAGAGTCTTTTCTATAAAATTTCAATGTTAAGTCCAAAAATCAAGCTAAGAAACTTATCCATAGCTTTCAAAAGTTTAAATTACTTATTGTATCTAAAATATTGAAGATAAAAAAAAATGATGAGACCTTTTTTATAGAAAATTTAATT